AGTTTTTTTTCAGGGTTGGAGCTGAACTCTGCAGGACTGCGGCTCTCTAGGACCGAACTTGCTTACCCCTGCTCTAGGACAGTGGTTCTCAACCTTTTCCCTGATAGCACACGTACATCACAGAGACGTTTATTTGACATCTGCATTTACATCTCCAAGACATATTTTTTAGAGTGTTTGCTCATCTGCAATACGTCTATCAGAATCAGAATCAGAATCAGAATTAGCTTTATTCGCCAGGTGTGCAAACACACGAGGAATTTGTTGTGGTTTTTTAAGGTGCTCCTGGTACATACATACATGCATACATACATACATACATATCTGACATGAGAACAGGGAAAAAAACAAAACAAAACGTCTATAAGACGTTTCCTATCAGATGTCAAATAGACGTCTGGAAGATGTTTAGTAGCAAATTTTAGAATATATAATTAAAAACCGCATATTAGAAAACAAAGATGAATCTTAAACCTTTGTCAGAATCGTTTGCAAAGCGATTACCTATAATATTAACAACAACATGCATTATGACATACTTGAATTGATCCTTGGCATTGTAAAAAGATGACAGATGCATGTTTTGGAGAGTCGCTCTCCCTGAATAGTCTTCACTCCTGTCAGCAAACCGAACTATGTGTTGCAGTTCCCCTCCGTTCGGCTTCTTATTGCATTCACTAAACTTTCGGTTTCGTTTCACCAGCTGGTTTCTATACACTGGCAGCTCCCTCCTCACAACTAACGAAAGCTTAAAGGAACACTCCACTATTTTTGAAAATAGGCTCATTTTCCAACTCCCCTAGAGTTAAACAGTTGAGTTTTACCATTTTTGAATCCATTCAGTCGATCTCCGGGTCTAGTTTTAAATAGGAAAAATGTAGAAAGTCTTTGGTCATTTTTGAGCGAGATGCTAATGGTCTAATCAGATTCAATGATCTATGCTAAGCTACAGCTAAAAGTGCTACCGCCAGACCCGGAGATCGGCTGAATGGATTCGAAAACGGTAAAACTCAACTGTTTAACTCTAGGGGAGTTTTAAATAGGAAAAATGTAGAAAGTCTTTGGTCATTTTTGAGCAAGATGCTAATGGTCTAATCAGATTCAATGATCTATGCTAAGCTACAGCTAAAAGTGCTACCGCCAGACCCGGAGATCGGCTGAATGGATTCGAAAACGGTAAAACTCAACTGTTTAACTCTAGGGGAGTTGGAAAATGAGCCTATTTTCAAAAATAGTGGAGTGTTCCTTTAAAGACGCCTATCAGATGTTTGTACACAGCAGATGCTTTCTAGATGAAGCCATCTTTAACAGACATCTTGCAGACATACATGTGCTATCTGGGTTTTACTCCAAGGCCCCCCTCCTCTCCGAATCAATACTGCAAGCCCCCCCATCCGCCCCCCCCCTTAATACTGCAAATTATTATTTATTTTTTTTATTTAACATATTAATCATAAAAGTTTAAGTTATCCCGCGCCCTGCCGGTTGAGAACCACTGTTCTAGGCAATAGTTTGTAAGGCACTTCGGGGCTAGATGTCACTCTTTCTACTCCACATTTATTTTGAAAGTCAATTTCTGTACATGTACATTACTATTTCATGACAAAAGCTATTTCCACCATAAAGCAGAAAAAAGGTTTATTGAACACACCTTTTATAGGTTCAAAACACTTAACAAATTGCCTCAATAAAGATGTGCCAACTTGCACCAACCTGATAATTAAAATATCAGGACAAAATGACTCTTGTCCTAGGAATACAGTTCAACCTTTTAGCTAGGGATGGGCGCATCGATCCAAAGTATCGATATATCGATACTGACGCGAGTATCGAAAGTATCGATACTCAAACAAAAAATATCGATACTA